TCAGTGAGGGGCTGTGCTCTTGTTGGCCTTAAAGGAGCCTGTGCAGAGCCCTCCTACCCTCCAGCAGATCCACACTCCCAGACAGCTTGGTGTCACCATGGTTCCATGAGGCCTCAGGGTGTCATAATGGTCTCCACGACTCCATGAGGCTTTTCAGTGTCACAATGTCCCTTTGGTTCCATGGGACCCCTTGGTGTCACAAAGTCCCTTGGATCCTTGGGCCCTGCAGTGTCACAATGGCGCCGTGGTCCCCCAAGGCCCTGCAGTGTCCCAGTGGATCCTTGGTTCCATGAGGTCTGGCAGTGCAGCAATGCTCTCCTTGGTTCCACAGTGTGACAGTGGCCTCTTGGTCCCAAGGGGCACTGTTGGGTCTGTGGTGGTGGAGGACACAACTTTCCTCAAGGCTCAGGAGCATCCAGGCATGGAGTTCTAGCGAGGGTTTCTTAGGGTCTAACACTCCAGGGGTCGAGGGGTTAAAGGCAAAACAAAGCAGGGTTTAGGGTATCAATACATGAAGTGAGGGGGTGGAGGAGAGCATCAGGGATCTAAGGGTTTATGTGCGGTATACAGGGAATGGGACTAATAGGGAATGACAGGGTGGATAGGCACGCCATAAACCAATGGGAAGACAGTGAAGGGAGAGCTCTTTAGAACATGAACATATGAGGGTACAAGGGGTAGGGAAGGCCAAGGGGCCAATGGGGAGGACAGAACTGGGACAAATTAACCTAGTGCTGCAGAGCACATGGGGGAAGCTTCTTTCCTCACCCTGAGCTGTGAGACACACCTGAACCCTGAGGTGCGTCTCTCCAGGGAATTGCTGTTGCCCTCTCCCCAGGAAGCTCACAGGCCTCCACAAACACACACTGGAGATGTCGGGGGCCGTGCATCATTTCTCTGCTCTCCAGCACTGAGGCAACGCACTCTGGCTACAGCTCTGAGCTCGTGCCCAAGGCAACCACCCCTGGCAATGGGGCTCCATGGAGCTGCTCTCAGGAAACCCCCCAAGAGCTGGGGAGTGCCCCCAAACTGCCGCAGAAACATGAGATACCCCAGCATCTCTTCATGAATGTGAAATATCCAAAAACTCACTCAGTAACAGGCTCCCACTCACTTCATCATCCCCAAACTTCAGCTGTCTCATTCCAGACCCCAGCCCACCTCCCCAGTCCCAACCCCAAACCATCCCACCCCTCCTAGACATCAAGACCCCCTTCCCAAGCTGTGCTTCCCCCATTTCACACCCCCCCCAAACTCCATCCCACCCAATGCTCATCTCACCCCTCCTGATTTGCATTCCACCTCACCCAATCCCCTTCCAACCCCATTTCACCCTAAGGGGCTGTGGAATTGCGTATACTTGGGGTGGGATTGAGTAGTTGTCAGTGGCATAGAGTGGTTTAGAGCTGACAGATCAATCCCTCTTGTCTTTTGGAGTGCCAAGAAATAATGGCAACTAAACCAAACACCTCCAAACACCCCCCATATCCTCCCAGATATCTCTTGGAATCCAAGATTCCCCTGAAACACTAGAGAAAATGAGGTTTTAGATGCCTTTGATGAATTGATTTGTTTTTACCTCAATTTTCTGTGTTTTGAAGCGAGGAAGATAAATCAAAAGATAATTAGAGGCAAAATAAAAGGAAAAAGAGCCACTTTCCACTGTGTATCATTGGGAATGTGGGTCACCAGGGCTCTGACCAGTGTGGGTCCTCTGACAGGAATGGAGCTGGGGCAGTGCACGAAGCTCTTCCTGCAGTTGGGGCTCTCACAGGGCTTCCCTTAGCCGTGCCTCCGTTGGTGTCTGGTCAAGCTGGAGCTGTCTGAGAATCTCTTCCCACACTGGGGACACTCGCAGGGCCTCTCCCCAGTGTGGATGCGCTGGTGTCTGACGAGGTGGGAGTTGTATTTGAAGCCCTTCCCGCAGTCAGGGCAGTGGAATGGCCTCTCCTCTGTGTGAATCTGCTGGTGCCGGAGGAGATGGGAGCTGCTCCGAAACCTCTTCTGACACTCAGGGCACTCATAGGGCTTCTCCCCAGTGTGGCTCATTTGGTGGATCATCAGGTAGGACCTCCGGCTGAAGGTCATCCCACATTCCCCACACTGGTATGGCTTTTCCTCAGTGTGGATTCTCTGGTGGAGGATCAAGTTAGAGCTCTGGCTAAAGCTCATCCCACATTCCCCACACTCATAGGGCCTCTCTCCAGTGTGGATGCGCCGGTGGGTGACGAGGGTGGTTTTGCTTGAAGCCCTTCCCACAGTCAGGGTAGCGGAAGGGCCTCTCCTCTGTGTGAATCCGCTGGTGGCAGAGGAGATGGGAGCTGGTCTGAAACCTCTTCTGACATTCAGGACATTCATAGGGCCTCTCCCCAGTGTGGATGCGTTGGTGGGTGACAAGGGTGGATCTGTAGCAGAAGCCCTTCCCACATTCCCCACACTCGTAGGCCCATTCCCCAGTGTGGATCATCTGGTGGCTGATCAGGGTGCTGCTCTGCCTGAAGCTCTTCCCACACTCCAAGCACTTGTAGGGCTTCTCCCCATCATGAAGCTGCTCATGGACCACCAGCTCTGAGCTCTGGCTGAAGCTCTGTCCACCTTCGTGGCTCAGGGTGGTCTTTGCCCCTCAGAGCACCCTGGGCTGGATTTGCAGCCCCTCCTCCTATGGAATCTCTGGGGCTTTTCCTCCCCATTGGATTCCTGTGCCCTGGAGTCACTCAAAACAGCCTCTTCCATGAGGTTCTGCCAAGGGGATTTGTCCTCCCTGGTCTCCATCCTCAGCCTCTTGTCTGACGGAGGAAGGACAAGGAGAGGATGGGATTTGCCTCCATGCCAGAGGGAAGAGGGAGGAGATTCCCCAGTGCATCCCCAGCAGGACGGCGTTGGCAATGGGGTTGTCCTGCAGCCAGAGGCCATGCTGGGCTGGGAGATGGAGCAGGAGAGAGGGGGAAAGGGGCACTGACTTCCTCCTCACCTGCCTGGGTGTCCTGGGGCATCTTCCTCTTCCTTGCAGCCTCCTGCTCCATGCGGCCAAGATTTCAGAACAGGAAATCTGGTTTGGGTGGAAAACAAGGGATAAGGACATTGAGTTTGAAGGTCTCTCTGGCCAAGTCCATCTCTAGAAGTCTCCAGCCATCTGGGGTTCATAAAACCCTCCCAAACACCAAGATTCAGCCTTG